TTAATTAAAAATATGTTCCTCCCAAACACTTTATTCTGACCCAAATAAGGGAATTAAATGTCCCTACTTTTATATTACAAATAATATAAAATAATTTAATTCATTTCACCCTAATACTTTCCCCTCTGCAATGACTCTGCGCCCCCCACTTTGGGAACCATTGCTCTACACCATTGCTCTGGGCGTTTCAATCCAGTCGTCCTAATAATCTGTAGCTGCCCAGAAATCTCAGCGTTCACCCACTTTCACGATGATTACCCTGGGTAACTTCACCACTAGATGACGCTAATAACACACAATATATTTCCAAAAAAGAACAAAAATGACTTCTGTGTTTTTTTTCTCCCATTTGTGACCCACATTGAAGAAATATAACCAGAATCAACAGGTACTGGTTTGTCACAGATGTTCCTTATCATGTCAGGTCTGGGTTTTTTTTTTCTTTTTTTCCTCATGCACTAGTTAAATAGGTCATCTTAACAATCAGTAAATGAACACTTTACGCCTTTAAAATGTGCAGATAAGCAGAGCATAGAGTTACAGTAAGTACAATCCAACCTGTCTCAGTGGTGACACCTCTCGTCTTAAAGTGTTGGGGGGGGGTGCGGGGGGGGCTTCTGAACATAATACACACTGACATGTTTGTCATTGACATTATACAGACATACAACAGGTTTAGTGCAGGGCCGCTGGTCCACAGAGGCCCTCCACCTGTATAGGTATGTCTCCACCACACCAACTAAGAGCACTTCTTTGTTCACTGCTTATATAAAAGGCAAAGGAAACAAAGAATGAGGAAGAAAAGGGTGAGAGAGAGAGACAAAGAGAGAGAGACTGGGAAATTACAGTTGGGTGAAATAGCCATTACCCAGTTCAACGGAAACGGGTTTGACTGGGAAAATACACACGGGGAGGTTGGTACGGCAGAAGTAGGAGTGAAGGTGGAGATGGAAGTACTTTAAAAAGTTCTTTAAATCATCAGAAGAAAACAGGAAAAATAAAAGCTTTTTTAAATATTCAAACCAATGTCGGGTTTTCAAAACCCGACATTGGTTACTATATATTTACATTTTTTGCTTCTTTTTTTTAAATTCTGTCATGTATTATGACTGTTAAACAACATTCAGCTGCTGACATTATTTATAAATGAATCATTTTTACATTTCACGCACTGCCAAACTTATTACAAGCCGAGCCATAAAAGTGTGCATGAAAGGAACCGACATAAACCAGTGGATGTTGGAATACTGAAGAAGTCCACCACATTTAGATGTTTTTTTTTTTTACCCCAAAATAAAACCTAACAAAAAGGAACTCCTAAATATCCAGAGAATGTGTGACTAGTTCCTCCTGCCAGGAAATTGTAGCCAAAACAACAGACACGGCAAACCCAAGAATGTCAGATCGAGTATCGGATATGGTGTAAAAGAAAAAAAAAATATCGCAAAATCATGCGCTTTGTGCCAGATTATCATCTGTAAAAAAAACAAACAAACAAACAAAACAAAAAAAACCCAAACAGAAGTGATGCTCCTCTTTATTCAACTTCTTTTTAACAGTTTAACTTACAGTTAATATGGACTTGGAGATAATATTTGTTTTCCTAAAATCTTCAGTACAAAACACAAAACAAACCACATGGTCCACCTAATTTGAATTATTTAAATTATTTATCAACTCTAAATATGTCATTTCCACAGTATACACACTGTAAACATCGACACACGGTGGCTGTGGCCATTTACCACCTTTAAGTGAGTCGTTGAATTGTAGCAAAAAAAAAAAGACTGTCGCATTATTATATATTATGAATACATATTATGAATATAATTTACTCCTTGTGTTGTCGGTACCATAAGTACGGAAGCCTGTTGGGTTTTTTTTTATCCACTCAAACCGTATTTTCACGTATGTAGCTTGAGTGAACTGCACCGGACGTAAACATAATCAAAACACAGCACAGTCACTAAAGTAGTGTCCGTTTTTTCTTTACTGTAAAACTTATATTTACGAACGAATGAAGCACGAACGTTAAAACACTGTTTTTATTAACTTTATCCCCCCCCTTCTCACTCCCCGACGCTGCGTTTTCATCATTCTCAGAGTAGATGGGAATTCAGAAAAGCTAACGTCGGCTAACTCTTAGCATCGTCGCAATATTTGTACATTTGTTGTGTTTAAAAACAAAAAACGGGGAAAAATTACACCTAGAATACACAACTGGAATTTTTTTTGTAAGATAGTTTGTTCATACACACTTACCGTTTTGTTCCGGAGAACTCCGTTGATTAAAGAGACCTCAGGCAGAGTAATGCTAATTTGACCGCTAATATGCTGTTATCAAGTCGTGCAGGGGTAAATATTAGCTTTGGCACTTGCTCACCTCTAACTAAACACAGATGTCGGGCACAATTCAATCAGACACCCGGCGCAAGATGCTCTCTACTTCCCAACCGAGAGGTGTGGCACGGTTTTGAAGTCTGATTACCAGATACGTAACAACCGTAGATAAGATAACAAACGTGGAACAGTGGGAATCCACTTCCGCTGGACATGTTTTCAAAATAAAAGCCTCTTTTAGAATTATTATTATTATTATTATATTATATTATTATTATTACTTTCATTTTTCATTCTAAAATACTAAACAATAACATTCGGCTGCTTGTATGATTTATCGAACAATATTTCTTTACATTCAAGCACAAAGTTAAACATTAGAAAGGAATTCTGCTGCTCCTAAATTTCCAGTCAAGAGGTGTGACTAGTTCCTTCTGCCAGTAAATTGTAGCAAAAAAAACAACAAAAAAAAACAGGCAGGACAAACCCGAGAATGTCAGGTGGAGTATCACCTGATACTAAAAACACCGCAAAAATAACACGCTTCATGCAAGATTATCATCTGTACAAAACACAAGCAGAAGAGGAGCTGAAAGTGACGCTCCTCATTATTCTTCTTATTAATTTTTATTTGTTTATTTTATAGTGAGTGACAGTTATTTGAGCTAAGAACGATTACACACCTATATCTAATATTTACAGTTAATAGTTATTATAAGTTTCAATATTTAGTTTGAGATTGTCGTATAATTCAGTCAGGTCTCACAAGGTCGACTGGCTCGTCTCACTTCTGTAATATTTCTACTGTTCTAACGACCAGCAGTAAAACAAACAGAGTTACGGCAGAAAACATTTCACTGTTTTCTTTCTTTGATAAGAAAAATTAGGTTATTTTCCATCATCTTTTGTAAATTTCATCCTGCTATCGTCAGTTTGATGTCCTGATGTGTAGTTATTATAAGTTTCAATATTTAGTTAGTTTGAGTGAGTTTGATCGTATAATTCAGTCAGGTCTCACAAGGTCGACTGGCTCGTCTCACTTCTGTAATATTTTCCCCCGTCACACTTGTTCCATCGTGCTCTCCAGATCACATATTAAAAATAAATAAAAATAAACATGTTGGTCCTCTGAGGATAAAGGTCACCTGACCGCTAACAGGGGCAGAAGATGTCCGGCAGTTCTGGTCCAGGATCAGTCCTCGCTGTCTTAGCCAGTCTTGTGCAACACTGAATGTCTGTAGTTCACTCCAACAGATCACTCCAACAGTTCACTCCAACAGTTCACTCCAAATGGTTCACTCCAACAGTTCACTCTAACAGTTCACTCCAACAGTTCACTCCAACAGTTCACTCCAACAGATCACTCCAACAGTTCACTCCAACAGTTCACTCCAACAGATCACTCCAACAGTGTATATATAATGTAAGAGAAAGAGCTCTACGTTTTAATCGTTTTATCTTTTTTTTCTGCATTGCTCACTCCTCTGCTGAAGGGGGCGACATTGTAACCGTTCAGAAAAACGGCAACATTGTATTTTGTAACATTCTGAACTTTTTGAATATTTGCTGAAAACAGGTCAGAAACAGGAACTCTTTTCACTTTTATTTGTGTTGCCTGTTTGGTGTGTGTTGGTGGGTTTGATCAACAGTTGAATCCCAAAGGTGTATGGAATATGATGAATATATTTCATCATGTTGCTCTTTTTTTTCTATTTCAGGAACCAGAGCTCTGAGGAAATCTTCACAGTTGACAGTCAGAGAGATTCTGCGTCTTCATCTCCACGTCGCACCTCTGCTCCTCTATACCTTCTCTGTGATGTAAAGACAAGCTGACACCGGTGTGAGCCTGGAGTGTGAATGACGCGGACTTGTGAAATTGACCTGGACTATTTACAGTTGCCAGGATTTTGTGAAAAGCAAGCGGAGGAGTTCGTGAAAACAGCAGCTTCTCTTTCACTGTTTTTTATTTCCTCTGTAAAAAAAAGTGTGAACATAGACATTAAAAACAACTGGTTTTAATTTTACAAAGTTGTTTTATTGTTGTTAAATGACTGACGATACACTGTAAATGTCAGTCGACCCGTGAAGTTAATTGGTCGACTGACGGTTTTCTCTACTATAACGAGTTGTTTCTGATAATTCATGAAAAAAAGTTCAAAAATGTTTAAAAGATACTGCAGAGGGCGCTACATCAAAGAGCTTCTCCTTGACTCTTCAAAACTCAAGGACAAAGTAACGGTTCCGCTGCCGAAGCTAACCCGGGGCTGGTGCCTTCCCGACGCGGAGTCGTTGCCGTTGGTCTTCAGGCTGTTGGACGAGGACGGAGTCGAGGCGGAGGAGCCACCAATGCTGCCCGACTTTTTCCTGGACGCTGTGCTTTGTTTCAGCGTGGCTTTTGCGGCCACTTTGAAGGCATGAGCCGCGGTGCAGCACCTGACCTCCTCGATGGTGTTCCTGAAGGGTTTGAAGAGGATGATGTAGACCTTGTTGAAGAAGATACAGGCCAACAGGCCGAAACTGGACGCGAGGATGGCGATGACCTCCACGGCTGAAACGAACTTCCCGTAGGTGCTAAAATAAGCCGGAATAAAAGAGATCCACACGATGAAGAAGATCAGCATGCTGAAAGTGATGAACTTGGCTTCTGTGAAGTTCTCCGGAAGTTTTCGTGATTTAAAGGCAAAGAAGAAACAAATGGCTGCCAGCAGGCAGGTGTAGCCAATGAGAAACCCAAGAGCCATCACTGATCCCTCGTTACAAGTGATAAATATCATTTCATCAATGTCGTAGTTTCTGTAGCTAGAAGGCGGGGCATTATAGAGCCAGACCACACAGATCATGACCTGGACGAAGGTGCAAAGAAACACCAAGAGAAACTGGAGGTTCAACCCCCACCATTTACGATGAAGACTGGTGGGGATCTTGGCCTCGAACACCAAAAGCACTCGGTTGGTCTTCACCAGGATGCAGGAGATGCAGAGAACGAAGCTGATTCCGAAGGCCGGCTGGCGTAAACGACAGGTCCAGTCCTGCGGCTCCCCGATGAAGATGAAGGAGCTGGAGAAGCAGCAGATGAGTGAAAACAGGAGGACGTAGGACAGCTCCCGATTTGTGGCCTTCACGATCGGAGTGTTGCGAAACCTAACGAAGACGGCCATGACGAAGCCGGTCAGGGCCACGCCCAGCACCGCACAGATAGTCAGAGCTATTCCAAAAGGTTCAGTCCAGGACAAAAACTCAATCTCCTTCAGGAAGCAGGACGTGTGGTTCCCATTGGACCAGGAGTTATTGGGACACTTAGTGCAAACACTGGCATCTGTTAAAGAAACAGGACGATACGGTCGTCAACAGTTACGGCGGCAAAAAACAAAACAAAACAAGGACTTTGTTTATATTTGAATAGCATGTACCTTTGTGGTTGCTGTACTCCCCATCAGAACACTCGGTGCATTCAAAGCAGCACGTGGGCATACTGTCGATGATGCCCTTCCTGGTGCCAGGCTCACAGTCCTCACTGCAGTTGGAGAACGGGACCTGGAGGATGTAGAACAACCAGAGTATTCACCGCACGGTTCCAACCACATCCCACAGTTCTGTGGGGTCTCAGCATAAATTTAGGAAAAATTGTTTTCTAAAATTTGACATTTTCCAGGATTCCATTTTACAGCAATTTTACCAAAACTTTGTAGGTAATTTTTTAAAAATTTTATTTACCAAAACTTTGTAGGTAATTTTTTTAAAATTTTACTCAACCCATTTAGCAATTTCTGTGCGAGTGTGTTTCTTGTGATCATAAAGATGCACTGTTAGCTTCACATATGCTAAAGAGTTACAAAGAATCTCAATGTTGTGTATGCATGTAGGGTATCTATTGCCCCCGGCTGACTTGGGGTATTTATTGTCGCTCAAACACCCCTCCTCCCCAACACCCAACTGACCTCTGTGCTGTATCCATTCCACAGAATCCTTGTCTTGTCGATGAACAGCTTGGCGCCCCTCTTAGCGTGCACGTTGTAATACCCCACCTCTCGGAAAACCACGGAGCCGTCCTCAGCCGACCGGTGCCAGTTCATGATGGTGTAGTTCGCTGCCAGGTCTGCGTTTTCACCAAAGTGGATCTTGACCCCCATGCTGTTGGTGTAGTTCAGGTGTCGGAGCTGCTTCAGGACCTGTGAGGCAAACGATTGAGTTTGAACGATGCACAGATAAAATCAATGCCCTCGGTGGGTCATGGTGGAGGAGATCTCACCTGCCACGCCTCCATTTTCTTTATATCTGCACAGGAATTGTTGGCGAACAGCCCGTGTCCAGGTGTGCAGGTGAGAATGTCCTGCAGGGCATGAGCAATGGCGTAGACCGCGACATAAACGTTGTAGGAGATTCTGAGGTGGGTGAAGTCCAAATACGGGGTCTCCACACTTGTGATGTCCTCCTCCCCGGTGCACAGAGGCCTGAAGCTGGTGCTGCCGCTCTCCTGCAGTCGTGGACTGTCCTCCAGGTAACAGTTGAAGGTCTCCTCCCAAAACTCCCTGACAAACTGGTTGTGACTGTCCTTCTTCGGTTGGACCTGCTGTAGGAACTCTCTAAAACCAGGTATCTGTCCCGCCTTCAGCGCGAAGCCAATAGTTCCCGCCACAACATCCAGATACTCTGGTTTGGCAATGAGGGAGGAGCTGGCCCAGGCCTCGCTGGCCAACCAGATGCGGTCCGTGATGTTTCTCCTCGCCATTTCTTTGATTAAGGGCTCAATGTCTGGGCCACTGGAAAAGACGACGATGACTTTAGCCGTGGAGTTCTCAATCCTGTCCACCAAAGCTTGGATTTCATGATCCTCGGCGTACTGAGAGATAAGTTCATTGAGGTGGATGCAGATGTCGCGCTCCTCCATTTCCTTCTCAAACTTCTCAATTCCCGGACGCCCGTAGTCGTCATCTGAGGCCACTGCGATTACCCAGTTCCACTCGAAGTACTCGATGATGTCTGCCATGGCCGTGGCCTGGTATTCATCGTTGGGGATGGTTCTCATGAAGGACTTGTACTGATTCTTGTTGCTCAGTAAACGGCTGGAGGAAGCGTAGCTGATCTGAAACGGGAGAGCTGCTCGTTAGGGTTCTTTTTTTTTTTTAAATCAGGGTTCCTTTTTTTTTGTTTTTTTTTTAATTGATTTCTGCTTGTTGTTGTTTCACACACTCACCTGAGGAATATAAAAAAGGCCCAGCAGGTTTGCAACTGCCGTGGAGACTGCAGACCCAGCAGCTCCTACCACCGCAATGGTTGATGGGATGTGATCGGTGCAGTTGCAGAATTCGTCCAAATTCAGGGAGTCGATCTTATTTTGGGCCACGAAACTCAGCGTAGCTTCCAGGGCCTTTGAGACTGTGTTGCACGTGTCAAAGATCCTGTAGCCCAGCGTGATGTTGGGCAGCAGGGAGCTGCTGTTATTTATCTCGTCGATGGCAAATATCATGGCCTGGAGCCAACGGAATCCACGGAAATTGAACCTGCAAGAATTTTCTTTTTTTAAGTTATGGTTTTGAATGTTATTGACTGTTCTCAGAACATCAGCAGTCTGGACCAGTCTGTTTTTACCTGGTACACTGTGTGGATTCTGGTCGCGCCGCAAGGTCCTGGTCTTTGGATGAAACCCCAAAGTGAATTGGGAAAAGCCCCCCCAGTAATATGTCTCCAGTCATCTGAGCTCTTTGCTGCGGTCCGTAGGTCGATATGACGTAACTGGAGCCAAAGAGTGTCAGATAACACAGAACCAGCCTCATCTTCATTTCTTACCTTGTGGTCGGGAATTCACAGTGAAAATATTCTCAGCATAACATTATCGCAGCGCACGAGTTCGGGCTCCTCGTGTTTTTCATGTTGGCGCTGATGTTAATACCTGTCGGTAAAAACAACATCGACACTAAATTTTCATTCTCCAACACATCATCTCACTCCAGTCATAATTTTTTTGCACCACCCTCAAATACTTTTCTGCCAAACTAGACCTCGTCATTCACTAGCATAGATCTCTACGACCTTTTTCTTTTTTTAGGCTAACAAAATGTAAAACTAAGAAAAAGTGAAAACACACATGCAATGTTTATTTACTCTGTATTCTGTGTATATATATAACACCCCCACGCCGCTCCATCCCTCTCTCTTTCACAGACTCTGGTTCATCAGTGGCTTTACAACTGGACCAGCATCCACAGGACCAGACACTCAGTGGATACTTTTTTTTTTTACGCCTGTTTTTTTTTTAAAACTGTACTTTTTAGCTGTTATATTAGGAGGCCACACCTATTCAGTAAACACTCGTCCATATATTTATGTATGTGGCTCACGACTACGTCAGTCTATGTAGCCTCTAAATCAGTCCTGGCTGTGAGCGCGCTCACATGTCGACACAATGACAGGATGAGGAGAAGAATGGAACTTTGAAGCCACTGTGACGGTTGTTATTTACAACCTCACTGTTTTAGGCCTAACAGAAGTGAGAGGGTTGTAATAATTCTCTCCCCGAAAAAAAAAAGAAGAAAAGAAAAAAAAGACTTTGGTAAAAGTGTGTTTTTTTTTATTGTCTGAACCAAAATAGGAACACAGACTCCGAGGTGCTGGGAGTGAAGTCACACTCTAATGACTCCACTTCCTGCAAATACTGGCTCTCATGCTGCGGCCAGTGACCGGTCACCATAGCAGCCTGACTGCATCTGGCTAATAGTGCTGGAAAAATGCCGGGGCAGAGCTGCGATAATGAAGCAACTAATGCCTTTAAAAGCCTCGGCTGAGGCCCATTAGCTAGGATGAAGCGGAGCTGCGTCCAGAGCCGTGCACAAATTAAGATTTTACTGTTGGGGTAAAAATTCAATTGTATTTTGATTAAACATGAAACATCCCTTAAACAACCAAATTATTACTATGATCTCAGCCACGTTATTGATTTTTGGTACATTAAAATATATTCATATTTTATAACTGTGCTTTTCATATTTTAGTTGTTTAACAAAGTTTTCACTTTTCATTCGAGAGTTCACACTTTGATTAGCGTTTCCTTTATGTACGGCTAACAAAAAGACTAGCCTAAAACACACCGTCGTGTTCGCTTTGTTTGCACGAAAATTAGAATATGACGTAATTTCTGTTTGTTCCACATGATCTAAATATATTACCACAGATGTACTTTAATACAATTGCAAATTAAATGTATCGACTTCTAAAACTCCATTAAGCTTAAAATAATACATATATAATTAATACAACAAATGAACCAGTAAACAAGTAGAAAAGAAAGAAGGTGAATTTACGGACTTACCACGCAGGACTTTCAGGCCCATTAAAAAAATAATTCAAAATATCAGCTTTCGGCTGTGATGAGACGTTTTGCGAAGCCTTCACCCCCAAAATATTCTGGGCTCTGAATGAACTCACTGGGCAGTTTTAGCTCCTGCGCCCCCGTCTGTAAATGAATCATTAACAGACAGAGGGTGAGTCCATTTCCTCGACTTAATGAAGTCTCCTCACAGCTCAGCCCTTCTCCAAGACTTCACCAGAAACTGAGTTGGCAAAGAAACGATTACCAGAGTCACCTTTTCCCATTTTCGTAATTTAACACAGAAATGAACGTTTGCGATGGTTCTTCTGATGGTTCTAGTATTTAATCTTAAATGTGAAGAATGGGTCACAAAAACCTAGTGGTAGACTGTAGAAAAGGACACCAAAGAACTGCTGGGTTATTAAATAGATAAATATATAATAATAATAATAATAATCAATTTTGATCAACAGAGACTTATCTATGTCTATGTGGTATTTGTAGTTTTACTGCTACTTCTTAACATGTACAGAGTTACTGTGTATCCAAAGTACTCACTTTGTTTCATTTCTGAGGATCAACTGGATTATTGTTGGATGCAGTACCACTGCTGACCAGTAGGTGTAGTAAGCTTTAACAAACAAACATAAAAAAGTTACCTCTGCTGATAATGTTATCATTACACCAGTGATAATCCCTTTTACGTTAGCTCTGGTGTCTGTACCAGGACTGTTGTTGTAGCCAAGTTTAAAAGAATTTAAAATTTGAAATGTAGCTTAAAAATAATTCCACTGATTTATTTTTATGGAAACATTCACATGAATCTACAACATGTGTGGTGCCTTTAACGTGTCATTGGTTCTCATTATCTGGTGAGCAGCCATTATTCCAGTATTATCTTTGGATTTGGACTTCAAAGCTGACGTTTTACTGCAGGCCTTCATTTCGTCAGGATTATTGAAGACTCACGTAGCTCCCACAAATCCTTTATTTTCACACCAACTAATCCATTTCCCTTGAAGCTGGTTTTACTTCTGAACCAGTGGCTTGGCTCGTGATACCAGAAACCCCTGGAAGCAGTGGATTGTACCATCATGTTCCTCAAACATCGTTTCCTTCTGCTCCGACAGTCAGGTCTTCAATTTGTCGCTGAGCAGATGTCGCCGAGAAAAAACTGCCTCAATTTACAACCTGTTGACTTTGTTTCCTCGGAGCAGGTGTGTGACGGACACTTCTTTCATGGTTAAACATATATTTATGACGTTAGTGTGAATAATTTGGTCCGATAAAGAAACAACCAAATGACTAAAAATAGGATGAAAAAAGTACAGTTTCCTAGAGTTGTAACTAAAAGTATTTTATATCGTATTAATGAAATGAATTCATTTTTAGATGTTGGACGCTGACACGACGACGACCTCCATCGTACGAATCTGTCGTCTCCAGAAATGACACGTATGGTTGAAATGTAACAGTTTGTGTCGAAAAATGTTGAGCAGTGAAGAGTTTGGCCGTGGATGGATTTTCTGCTCACAGAGAGTGTGGACCACGTTAGCTCCAAACACAGGTATCCACGCTGCTGCACTCAGCCCAGAAGGTAAGACCGTCTCCACCGAATACTAATGTCACGGCTGTAATGACATGTGGAAGTGAAATAGACTTTAAAAAAAAGTTAAATTTAAAAGTTGACGTTGAACCGACTAAAAATGGTAAAATGATTTAAAACAGTCATTTATATTATATGTTGTTATGATGAGCAGCGATGATGTCACAGTCAGTGAAGTTTTAGGATAGAAAGCCTCAGGTTTGATTCAAAAGTAGAAATAATATAATACAAAAAAGGTATTTAAAAATGTAAAACTTAAATTCAGGATTAAGAGATGAAACGTTTCGTTTTTACATAAGGACTGAAATAATGCGATCAAACGTGAAGTTAAAGTCAAGATGCTTTTAAAGGTCAAAGGTGAGGTCTGCGCATATATATATATACAGTATATAAATATACTGTATATATATATATATTATTTAGAATGTCATTAATTTAAACCTTCGTTCTGCCATGCAGAAAGGTTCCCGGTTTGATTCCTTCTTGCTCGGGAAAGGAGGAAAAGTAAAAGAAAATGCCTCTGTGTCTCGGCTAAGAGCCTGAGTCAGTTTGATGTGGGTTTTTTAAGAGTTCTAAGGTGAAGTAACAGGTAACGTAAGTAAACTTTCTGCAGGGGAAAAACCCCCAACATAAACATCGCTAACATTTGCACAGATAAAACAGACTAACCGCTAATTGGTATTGGCTGTGGCTGTGTTTACATTCAAACTGGAACTGGGTCGTTCTGATCACACCCTTCGACTCCAACAGTAACCATGACAACACAACATAGTCCTAACTGAACTATTAATCGAGCAGCGTTCACTCAGTCGTCAGTAACGCACCTTGTCTCGTGTGTGTGTGTGTTCTTGATTCTAAAATGTTTTATTTTGTAGACGTCAGAGAACCAGGTAATAATAGCACAGAGCGCCGCCGATCTGTGGCGAGATCCAGGTAATAATAGCACAGAGCGCCGCCAATCTGGGGCAAAAGCTTTAGTAAGAATGAACGCTACAAGAGATCGGCGATGTTTGAGTTGCGTGACTGACTCACACGACCCCATCCCGCAAACTCTGGCACTAATGAATAAAATTAACGTTAAAATGTCTCCCTCTACAGGATGTCTGGTACAAAGATTCTGCTGTTCCTGCAGAGTCTGTCCCGCAGGAAACCTCTGGAGCCCGAGGGGGAGGTGTCCAACCTACGGCGCTGCCTCACCACCCTCGACCTGGTGGCCCTGGGGGTGGGCAGCACGCTGGGGGCCGGTGTGTATGTGCTGACCGGAGAAGTGGCCCGGACCGTGGCGGGGCCCAGTATCATCATCTCCTTCCTGATTGCGGCCGTGGCTTCGATATTTGCGGGACTGTGTTACGCAGAGTTCGGGGCACGCGTTCCCAAGACGGGCTCGGCTTATCTGTACAGCTACGTGACCGTGGGGGAGATATGGGCCTTCATCACGGGCTGGAACCTGCTGCTGTCCTACGTCATAGGTAAAGAACCTAAAGTCTGACAGAATTCACTGACAACGTCCAAAAACATCATCAATGAAGTCAGTAGAAAAAAAAAACGTACAGATGTTGGAAATATATTATTATTTCCTGTTTTTCTCAGGGACATCGAGCGTAGCCAGAGCGTGGAGCGGGACTTTCGATGAACTTATCGGAAATGTCATGTCAACCTCCCTGGGCAGACGGGCTCCGATGGCTCTACCAGGATTAGCTCCCTTCCCAGACTTCTTTGCAGCCGGCCTCATATTGCTCTTGGCAGGCAAGTTTCACGAAGTTCATAGAAAGGGTATGATGTTTGGCGCCCCCTAGAGTAACACTGGGGTAGGAAGACGCCAAGTGGACATCATGGACATTACAGCGTGAAACTAGTCCAACAGCCTAGGGCGCCCTCTGCTGGTTGTACTAAAGTCTTAAAGTTTTATTTGTTGTGGGGTTTTTTTTTTGAAGGTATCCTGGCATTTGGTGCCAAAGAGTCAGCCATCGTGAATAAGATTTTCACGGCCGTGAACATCCTGGTGCTGGTTTTCGTCATCCTCTCTGGCTTCATTAAGGGGGACATTGACAACTGGTCCATCGGTGAAGAGTCACTCCTCCAAGCATATGTGTATGTAAATTAAACATCTTAAAAAAAAAAAAAAAAAAAAACTTGACAAAAGATATGTATAGCAGACAGTGCCCTCTTGAGGCGCTGCATGGTAATGCATGGTTAGGCACATGGACCAAAACAGAGCAGAATGTATCAAAAACACCTTGTTTCTCATTAGATTAAACTCATGCTAAAACAGCATTTTTTAAATTATGTTATGATTATTATATATTTTGTCAAATTTTCTTCACAGAATGTCAGAAATCTGGTTTCCACAGTGGATATTTATGCTGTATTTTACCCTCATATTATACTGTAGTTTATAGACGTGTTCTCCACAGAAACCAAACGTCACTGAATGAAACGGCCACATTTGGCAGCGGAGGTTTTTTCCCTTTTGGATTCGAGGGGACGTTAGCAGGAGCAGCCACGTGTTTTTATGCATTCGTTGGGTTTGACTGCATCGCTACGACAGGTGAGACTTACAGTGGACACCGGTCGGTCGCAGAGTATGTGAAATTTTCTTCACAGAATGTCAGAAATCTGGTTTCCACAGTGGATATTTATGCTGTATTTTACCCTCATATTATACTGTAGTTTATAGACGTGTTCTCCACAGAAACCAAACGTCACTGAATGAAACGGCCACATTTGGCAGCGGGGGTTTTTTCCCTTTTGGATTCGAGGGGACGTTAGCAGGAGCAGCCACGTGTTTTTATGCATTCGTTGGGTTTGACTGCATCGCTACGACAGGTGAGACTTACAGTAGACACCGGTCGGTCGCAGAGTAGCTGAAAACATGGAATAACAAAAAAAAAATGTGTTCTTCCTCAGGGGAAGAGGTTCAAAACCCTCAGAAGTCGATCCCACTCGGCATCGTGGCCTCACTCCTCATCTGCTTCTTGGCCTATTTCGGTGTCTCTGCTGCACTGACGCTGATGATGCCTTACTATTTGCTCAGTGCTCACAGTCCGCTGCCTGTAGCCTTCACGTACATCGGTTGGTCCGCAGCAAAGTACGCAGTGGCTGTGGGATCCCTGTGTGCTCTGTCCACCAGGTATGGAACACCGCGTGTCACTTAAAGCCGCCGTTTAATCCAAAGAACTACTGTTTTTTTTAAACTAGCCCAGTAGCTTGAAGAAACACCTTGAATTAGGCTCAGAAATAGCTGTAGCTGTGCTAAAGTTGTACTTTTTTTACAGCCTTCTGGGATCAATGTTCCCGATGCCTCGTGTTGTCTATGCCATGGCCAGGGACGGACTCCTCTTCAAACCCCTCAGTAAAATCAGTGACCGACAGAGTCCTGTCATAGCTACCCTGGCCTCAGGGGTCGCTGCAGGTAAAATGTGACAACACTTCGTTAATCTCTCCGTCAACTTCACAAGTTTTTTGTTTTTTTTTGTTTTTTTAGCTACATTAAAAAAAATACTGTGTGTCTGTTTTTAAAGTGTGGAATTAAATCCAGAACATAATTGTTCTGGTACCAAACCAGGTGCCAAGATGAGTAAAACGAACACACCCTACAACTTTTTTAGCCACATTAAAAAAAAATACTGTGGTTTTTAAAGTGTGGAAATTAAATCCAGAACATAATTATTCTGGTACCAAACCAGGTGCCAATATGAGTAAAACGAACACACCCTACAACCACATTGCTAAACTCTAACTAAACCCTCACCTACTGGATATCGCAGGTTGTTTACAGAAGACAAACATTGATTATTGTTGTATTTCTTTCATCAGCGATCATGGCGCTGCTGTTTGACCTGAAGGCGTTGGTGGACATGATGTCCATTGGAACTCTGTTTGCCTACACACTTGTCGCAATCTGTATTCTCCTACTCAGGTAGGAGCTGGAACAAGGAGACACATGTTTAATCTGTGTCTGTGTCAGGATCAACAAGGAGCGTGTGTCGAGTTTTTCTTTGTTCAATTTCATGTAATTAATCTGAACTTTTTAATATATTTATATAACTTTTAGCTATTTTGCTACATCCCTGGCTAACACTGAGCTATCTATAAGCATTCTCTTTTTCTGTTCAAGCTGTTGATTTTTTATTTATTTATTTATTTGTACTTTGGCTACATTTAACATTTCCTGCTTTAATCAGTTCGGCTTCAAACTGTCACTGTTGTTTTTCACCTAAGCTGTTTTGAAATTCTTTGAAAACGTTTTGCTAATTTTGGGCTAACTTTTAGTTTTTCCATATAGTGTTAAGTGATGAACAATACACAAGACTGGTATGATTGGGGAAAAGTACTATCACAGTCGTATCACAGTAGTATCCCAGTAGTATCACAGTAGTATCACAGTACTATCCCAGTAGTATCAATGGTCCGACTACAGGTTGGTCGTGTTAAACCATGCTGACTGTCTCTGAAGCTTCTCATTGGTCCATCTGGTCTAATCAGAGGTGAATCTTTGTAGATACCAAGAAGAGCTCACAGATGAGTCCAGCAGAACAGAGCCGTTCAGATTAAGAGAACTCTATTTTCCTCCTCCACAAGCCACCGCGCGCACTTCAAAAAACGTCTGCACTTTAGCGGTTTTCTCCGGTGAGTGAAGGAAACATTATATATAAATTGTTTTTAAATGTTTAAACATTTTAACAGCATCTGGTTCTCTGTCCACTTCAGTCTTTTTGTCTGTCATCCTGAGTCTCCTCATCTCCCGGGCTGGAGACTCCCTGCATGCACTGCAGTGGTGGAGCTTGGTCTGTGTCTCTGTGACTGTTCTGACTCTGGGCCTGATCGTGTTAATCGTCTGGAGACAACCTCAAAACACCGCAACTGCTGCGTTCATGGTAAACTGCATCCACATTAACGTGGCAAGCTTAAAAAAAAAGAAAAAAGAAAGTGATTACCAGGAGGTGATCGAGGCGATGTGTTCACGTCCTGGTAATCACTTTTTATTTTTTTAGTTCCCTTTAAAATTATTCAGAATTTCCACAGAAGCCGACCCACAGTGAGAACTGATGGTTGTGTTTAGACAAACCTCTCTCTCTCTCTGCTGCACACTCATGTTGCCCAACAGGGGGAGCACTGTCAACATACAGGAGATTCTCTGAACTCACAGGATACTCAGGACTGGAGATTTTTTTTTTATATAAAAACTTCTAACCCTAACCCTTCTCCTGATATATTTCCATATATATGTCTATATGTATGTGTTGTAACAGGTGCCTTTGGTGCCGTGGCTTCCCATTCTCAGCACCATCATCAACGTCTACCTCATGGTTCAGCTTGGATCAGACACGTGGGTCCGTTATGCTGTGTGGATGGCCGTCGGTACGCCTTTAACAAACAACACACTTCCCTGCACAGTTTTGTTCTGTATCCATGGTAACGACCCACACTTTTCTCCGAACAGGTTTGATGATCTACTTCTGTTACGGCGTTCATCACAGCGTGCAAAAACAAAGGCTTGAGAATTCCCAAAACCAAGGCGGTGACGGAGAAGTGTTTCATGAACAACAAATGATGGACATGAAGACATAGTAGTAGTGGTCACATGACAAACGCAGACAAAATGTGACCATCTTCACAGTGACCTCAAGAGTGACCTCTAACTTTTAATGAAATCATTATTTGTACTTTTTTATTTTTAATAAATAATGAAGAGGCTTTGTGTCATTTTGTGTCTTTAAACTGTTCTAACATTACAGATACTTTATGAAACCCCAAAAGGTCATCTATAAACCCGCTGTAGTTCACATAATCACCAGCAGAGTCTGAGTTGAAAGTCCAGGTGTCATCGTTAAATTCATTTAATTCTGAAAAACAGTTTATAGCATTGAATCTTTGCAACATTTTTTATGGACTCACCATTTTCAGCTGTTGTTCTAGTGTGAAGTGAGTTCAGGTTCAGGGCAGAACTCCAAGACACCTCAGGGAAGGGAGGTCTTAAACTGCAAATAAAAAAAAAACAGGGAAGGGAGGTCTTAAACTGCAAATGAAAAAAAAGGGAAAAGTTAAGCTGTGTTTGATTTGAAAACTGTAGACTGCACAGGCCAAAACCTGCAGAGAAAAGCTGCACCTGGTCCATCATCAAGAAGTTCAGATCAGTTTCAGATTACGAGTGTGAAACATATGCCTCCTAAAATGTGTTTTGTTAAAATAAATATATTTGCCTGGAAAACCAAATGTGTTTTCTGGGAGGGGCATTGACAGGGTTAGTTCCCATCGTGACTATGGAAACAAGGGGTCCTTTTAGTTTCAGTAAATTGACAAGTACTGGTTTAATCGTCTTCTGGGTGCAATTATTATTTTAAAAAAATTACAACGTGACACACCTTTTAAACTGACATTAGTCAAACGCAGACTAAATTTTAGTTTACCGAATTGTTCCTTTAATTAGCTTACCTTAAAAGAGTTAATTCGTTTTAAAGCATCCGCCAAAACACTGCATTTTATTATTATTATTATTACTATTTTACCTACAAATGTTAAGAAAATAAAACAACCTTGTGCGGCACAACGATAGCAACCGTTAGACTTGAATAAACAACATTTTTTAAAGTCTCGTACACTCCTTAAAATAGTTTGGACACACCTTCCCTGGACACAGCACGCAATATGAAATAGTACAGGAACAGATGAAGGTGTGTCTGTGTTTCAAGGGGCGCTGTTTTCGAGACGCACTGTATGCAGCGAATTCTAGCCAATCAGAAGTCAGAATGCTGTGTGCTTTAACCAATCAGTGACTCGCTGAGGGAGGAGGCGCATCGTTCAAAATCCAAAAGATTCACACAGTAGAACAGGCTTCCATGGTGTGTAGATGAGAACTAGTGCCATAGTTTTTATACGGTTTTAACGCAAAATCTCGAGTTTCAGTCTCGGAAACGGAGTTTCGCCGATTAACTCGCTAGTTTGAAGAACAAGAAACTTCAGTCTGTCGTCGTCGAGGTAAGTTTCTTATTATTTGGTTCATTTGGGCTAAACATGGATGACGCTCCTTTTGTTTTTTTTGTCTCGCGTACATGAAATTTTACAGTTCTCGGGCGTAAAACTCGATAACAATGAAGACAAAACATAAAAAACATCATGGCAATAATACGTTTTTTAAAAAATAACTACTTACTACAGCGTGTTCTGTTATAACATGCACATTCGATTGTTTTATAACGTGTTATTACGCTTGTTGGTCTCGAATTAAAAAAAATGTATATTTTCGTAATGTAAAAAGCTGAAATGAAATGAAATGAATATGAACTTCTTTAATAGTTTACAAACCTTTGACTTTCAGTGCAAAACAGCCCTGACTCGATACTCAACACTACGTCATAAGTTCTTGTCAATACAGTAGAAGACTTGACATTTACTGACATTTTTATGATTTAAAGGAGTTTTACATATGTTTATACTGATTCTTTAATAATCTTTACAAAACATATTTAATTTTGAAATGTATTCATTTTTAGTTATGGGCATTTAAATTCTGGAAAAAAAAAGCTGCAGCATGAAAATAAGATTTTTTTCTTTCTTCCTCACATGCTGCAGGTGAGCATGGCCCTGTCAGTCACCTCCCCGTGTGGGTATGTCTTTGAGGAGGAGGAGGAAGTGGCTGTGTTTGAATCAACAGCAGCAGAGTTTGGTGGTCTGACCAGACCACGTTTACCTGAGCTCTCGCTCATTTCCCCCGGACTTGACCCCCGACCCTCCACAACAGAACAGGTAGGGGAAAAAAACCCAAATGTTATGAACATAAATTGGATTTCTATGGTAATTTGAACCAGTATTTATACCAATATTGTGTGACATAAAACTTGTGGAACTTGTCAATTAACTTTGTTGTCTTTGTTCAGAAACCGGTCGTAAAACCTGGACTTTTTAAACAAGGAAGTTGTGACGAGGGAAGCAGTGAGAAGGTCCAGGTTTTCCTTCGCATCAGACCGCTCAGTCACACAGAGAAGGACAGGGGAGAAGAACAGGTTTGTGTGTTTTTGGAGATCATATGACGTCATCAATATATCCTTAAATCCTACATCCCCATCCATCCTTCATTTTTTTTCTCTCATGACTCTTCCTCCAGGGCTGTGTGGCGATGCAGGATGAGAAGAGTCTGTTGCTCAGAGCTCCGAAGGAATCTCAGAACATGAGAACTGCAGAGAGAGGCATCACCCAGAGCGTCCACAAGTTCAGTTTCTCCAAGGTACTGCACTTGGTCGTTTAAAATTGTGTATTCTTGGTACAAATAATATGATAATTCTGCATCACATATTTATTTTTATATATATATAACTGTCTTTTCTTCCATGGAAAGATCTTTGGCCCTGAGACCACGCAACAGCAGTTTTACGAAAACACAATGAAGAAGATGGTAAACGACGTGCTGCAAGGAGAAAACCGGCTCCTCTACACGTACGGCGTCACCAACTCTGGAAAAACCTACACGATTCAGGGTACGGATTTTAATAATAATATTTATACTCCGAGACAAGCAGTACAGGAGTTACAGTTCAGGGCTGTCAGTTGGAGAAGGTAACATATGCTCCAGCAGAGGGCAGTGTTGGAGCAGCTCAATCACAGGTCTTTGCTCTTAAGAAAAGAAAAGACACTGCTGCCAGTTTGTTGTTTTCCTGTCCTTTTTTTGTTCTTTCAATGCATCGTTCACTCCTGTTGTGGCGTTTGTTAGTCTTTGGCGCGTGTCGTAAGTGTAATGATGTCAACTCACCTCCATGTCTGGTCTGTACGTTTGAGCGCAGGCAGTGGTCGGGAGGCCGGTCTCCTGCCCCGGGCTTTGGTGTCGCTCTTCAGGAAACTGCAGGGTCGTCTGTACGGTGCCATGAACCTGAAGCCCGTCATGTATCACAACGTGAGAGAACTGGAGCCCAGTGAGGTCAGGGCCGAGGAACTGCGCCGAAACTCTCTGCTCAAAGAGGTAAAAAAAAATAAAAATAAAATTACATTTCTCTTAAAAAAATGTCAGTGTAAAACAGTCAAAAATTGTTACTTACAGGATGAAAACACGAGTTCTCGCCGACCTGGAGGATTTACAACCGTGGACAGTGGCATCGGAGGACTCTCCTCCATTAGCAACATTGCCAGTCAGTTAAACGGTAAAGGGGACGGGGGGGGGGGCAGTGGGGGGAAAGGCTCTT